TTTTTTTTTTTTTTTTGAGACATGGTTTCACTAAGTCATTAAATTGCCTGGTTGGTCTCAAACTGGTGATTCTCCTGCCTCAGCCTCAGAGTGCTGCAATTACACACACTGTCATTTGTATGTAACACATTGAACAACTAAACCCAGCCTTAATCCTCCTGGCCTTCACGGGGCACAGAGTTGGTCATGTCTGCCAGCCTATATCTCCTGACAACTAAGGACAATTTCTTTGGCCTGAAGGGCAATTTCTTGCCAATCAATCACCAAATACTGAGTGCCTTTGTCAGTAATAGCAACCATTTATTGAGTATCATACTAATTTTTCCAATAGTGCCTTCATTTACAAATGAAAAGAATGAAACATCAGGGAGATTTATTCTGCCAGCTAGTGTGTGTGTGTGTGTGTGTGTGTGTGTGTGTGTGTGTGCGTGTGCGCGTCCCCTACTGGGAATCTAACTCAGGGCCTTGCCAGGCAGGCTCTGCACCAGTGAGCTATTTTCTCTGTTGGAGTTTTGTTTTGTTGTTTGTTTTTTTTTTTGAGACAGGATCTCTTTGTAGTTCTTAAACTCACAACCATTCTCCTGCCTCAGCCTCCCGAGTGCTGGGATCACAGGTGTGAACCACCATGCACAGCTTTTGCCAGCTAATATTCATTAAGAGTTTGTCTAGGGCTGGGGATTTAGCTCAGTGGTTCCACTGCCTGCCTTGAAAGTGCAAGGACCCAAGTTCAATCCCAGATACCAAAAAAAAAAAAAAAAAGAGAGAGAGAGAGAGTTTGTCTATTACCAGTCAAGGCAATGTATTTACTCCACCTCAAAGCTATTAAGTGATCGGGTTAAAATTTGGACCCAGAGTTGCCTGGTCCTGTGCTCCATCTAGATTCATATAGGGGATGAGTCAAAACCCCTCAATCAAATATACTATTTCAAAGCAATCCACCCTCTTGTGAGGCCGAAGCAGGAGTGCTACAGGTTTGAGAGTAGCCTGAGCTATGTAGCAAGACCATGTCTCAAAAAACTAACTAAATAAACCAGCCACCTTAATGGGTGCCAGATCCATAAGTGAAAAATTCATGATTTCCCCTCCTTTCCTCACAGCTGTGCTATCCTAAATTCTAGGATAAATTAAATGTAAATGAATTACGAAGAAATATAGCAGAGGTGTAACTTAGTGGTAGTACTGTAGACAGGTACGTTAGTTAAAAATATTATGGGTAGTTAGGCAAGGATGGGCCCTGAGAGTCAATGCAAAAGACAACTTGTCTGGAGACCCATTTGTTGAAGGCGAGGCTTCAAGACAGAGACCTAGCCAGGCATGGTAGCACATGCCTGTAATCCCAGTACTCGGGAGGCTGAGGCAGGAGGATCACTGCGAGTTCGAGACCAGCCTGGGCTTCATAGTGAGTTCCAGGTCAGTCTCAACTACATAGTGAGACTCTGTCTCAAAAAACCAAAACAAGGGCTGGGGGTTTAGCTCAGTGATTCTGGTGACTGCCTCGAAAGCTCAAGGACCTGAGTTCGATCCCCGATACCAAACAAAACAAAACAAAAAGACAGAGAGACCTGACTATATTCACATACTTCCCCTAGGGATGAACAGCCAGAATTGATATTCCAGAGAGGCATCAATCACTCTGGGTGGGGGACCAAAAACTCTCTAGCTCATTCCTTCCTGGAAAATCCTTGTTCGGTCCATGTACGCTTGCTACAGGACTTGCTTTACTATTTGCTCCCCATTTAATCAATATTACCTAAGCAACTACATTTGTAATCTTATTGGCTGACCATAGTTTTGTCCCACCTTATACCCACCATGTTGTGATTTTCCGTTGGATCAGTACAACCTAACTGTATGTAATCTTATTAGTCCAGTACAATTTTGTCTTGACTCACTTTATACCTGACTCATCTCATGGCTTTGTTCTATAAAACTCCTTTGAGGGCCTAGATCTAGCCCACTGGTGGCCACTCAGGAAAAGGTCCTGAGTTTGATCTCCAGTACCAAGAAAAAAAAAAGGAAGAAACCTCCCTTGAGAAGCAAGGTCCATGGGTAATCCACTTTCTGGGACCC